TTGGTTATAGTGAAAAAAGTAAAAAAAGAAAGAATTGGGGAGAGAGAGAGAATCAGATTGAGCTGATAAGAACAGATACTACACCTTGATCAAAATGTATTTTCTTGCTGCCCCACACTGGCAGGATGTGACGCAAGGTCAATTTAATCCAGGGAGTATGAGTGCTTGCACCCAGGTCAGGTTAAAAAATAACACAGCCCCTACAACCATTTGTTACACCGGCATCAGTATTACTGCCAATGAGGGAAGTACTGCTGCAGGCAGCTGTTTCCTGAGACCAGGTACTTCTCAATAATATTTTCTCTGCAGACAGAGGCACAACTGATCGATGAAATGTAGTTTATCCACCCAAGGGCAGATACTACACTTTGATCCCAGCCAAGAGACTGAGAAGTGTTTATTTTTCAGTGCACTCATGTTACTACCAAATGTGACCCAAGGTTGCGGCTTAAAGTGGGTTTAATGGCAATACTGGGGAAAAACTGCCTAAGCCACCTCAGCACTTCTACTTTTGGAGATGCCTCAAGTGCCAGACAATAAACCTATCCTTGAAGGAGAGGTACAGCCTGGGTGGAAGAACCCCAGGGGCTTGGGTTTAATATTATTTGAACCTCTGCAAGCCAAACATCCAAGAAATTATAGCAACTGCAATAAAATCACCATTTTTATGATGCACAATATCAACGACGGAAACCAAGTAAGGCAATCAGTAAAAATTGAGTTATCATAAATAAAATAACATTGTCTGCTGAATTATTTTTAAATTACTAAGAGAAATGTTTGTAATACAGGGATTTGGCTAGTAATTATAATAATGAAGAATTTCAAATTTGAAATTCAAAATTTATGATTAACATTTGTCCTATAAATATAAGATCTGATAATAATTTTGGCAAAGTTTAACCTTTGTGCCCTGCAAAAAAAAAAAATGGTGTATCAAAAGGCACTGCTATTACTGTATACATTTTTGACTCCCCCAGCAACATTTATTTACAAGATTATAATGTTATAATATCTCAGGTATCAGGGATTCACACATAGCATCCACCATTTAACAGTATTGCTCCTGGACAGGAGCTACACAATCTTTATATTCCTGTCTTGATAGCTATTTCCATGGAAAGTGTTCAGACAAACTACATTCTTAGTTCCACTAATTCTAACCTTCCCGGCTAAGACCTGCCATGCCACTCACATTTTATCATTCTGTTCATATTCCATTGGTGAGACGTATGTTCCACTTGAGCAGCTTCTTCCCGCAAACTGCTATTCTGTGGAAATGACTCCCAAGAGGATGCTTTCTCTATCGCTACAATCTTTAGCTGTTCAAACCAAGAGTTGACTGATGTCTTATACACATTGTTATGGAGTAGTTTTCACAGTGGAGGCTTGTATTTCACTAAGTCGGTCCAAAAATAGGTTCGACGTACAAAACGTTAGGAACTTGATATAATAGTTAATGACGCAGCAATCTAGTTGTGGTGGCTGATACTTTAATATCCGACTAACGGTCGTCCGACATCGACTGACTGACCAACTCCTGAGCTGACTAACTGAGCGACTGCTACTACTCCTACTTATTATAGGTGGGAGAGTCTATTAACAATAGAATAGGTGTGTTTCACTATAACACACATATTATTATAAAAAAAGCAAAAAAGAAATTGCAAAAGTGCTATTTGAAGGGACACCGCCACCCCTGGAGCTGAGCATATTATACTTTTAATCCCAAAAGGATGTGATGCTCATGTAACCGTTATCAGCATATAAAGTGGAATTGACAAGCAGAAGTTTAAATTCCAGCCTAATAGGTTGCATTCACTTTCACATTAATACTCTTGACAAAAGTATACACCTCATCTTTTCTTTTTTCACTTTTTCTGCCACCCCTAGCTATGTAGTAAATAGCAGAGTAGACTGGGCTCTCAAGCTTTGGTAGCAGCCAAAACTAAGAGAATAACTACTGTAAATTAAAAAAAAAAACACGGAGAAGGCAACAAGAAACCATCATTTCTTGGCCTTTTGAGATGGGAGAAGGCATCCTGTTTCAGAGATTCCAAAATTGCAGCAGCACCTTCCTCAGTGCACTAGGCAGTGGGGTCATTGTAATATTGTTGCCAGTGTGACAGAGGTCATGGGAAATGTTCAGTTTTAATCCTTGGCCCATATACATATGTATGAACACTCTACCTTAAATACAACTTTTTGTGTCGTATCCTACGTTACTGGCAGTAATATTTCTATATGGGGAGTTTTGGTACAAAAAACAAGGTGGTCCACTTGACAGTTGTTTATTCCAAGTTCACATGTTCAAAAGTGTATACAGTGTCCACGTCTTGTGGTGAGCTCCCTTTTTTCTTTTTTTTTTTTGTTATTTCACAACCAGTCAGAATTTCATTCAAGAATGCCCTGTATCAAGGGGCGTAACTCCTGGTTAACTAGATTCTGCACACATGCTACAATGGTGAGGATAGGTGAGGATAGGTAAATATTCGCTTCTTGGCCTTTTAGCTGAGATCAAAGCTTAGTATCTGTTCTCTCCTTATTTTACATGGGAGAAAACGACTGGTCCAGGGGATTCCAACTCTGTGACAGAACCTTCTTCATTGCACTAAGAGAGAGATTGGTGTAATATCGATTTTTGTCCCAGGCCGTATGTAGTAGTGTAGAGTGCATTTTGAGCGCCCCGGACTTTTTAAATTATTGCGCCTCATCCTTTTTAGCCATGAGCTGTTATAAATTCTAGTTTTGTGCATATTTTCTTTTTCTTATCTAATTCATTTTTAACGTCCTTAAAAATCGCCTCTCTTCCCCTGCCCATGCTATGCTACTGCCCGTATGCATATTCATGTGTTTGGGCATCCCACATTAAAAAAAAAAAGAAGATCTCATGTCACATATTGCTTTAGTGAGGAAGTCAGGTAGGTAAAATAAAATTCTATGTTCTCCGTGAAGTCATAGTAATTCACAGATAATTTTTAATAAATAAAACTAAAAGGAATCTGTGGAGAGAACTTGTGGAATAATCCACGTTACCTTTTCACCCCTTTGAAGAACAATCCATTCTTACACCCACACACCTGTTATCCAATCAAAACACTAGTTCTGACAAACTAAATTTCTCATTGCCTTAAAAAACTGTTATGCACATGAAAAATGCCTTTGGCGCTCAAATGTGTTTTAGCCTATTTTTCCTTTCCAGAACCTATAAAAGAAAGAAATTTGAACCAACTTACCAGTCAGAATTCCACACTCAGAGAGATGCTAACCAATTCCACGCCAGTTTAAACTTTGACTTTCCAGCGTGAATTAACCTCTGACTCAACAACCTTTTGGCATACTCAATCTCTCTTTTAAACAAACTTCTCAAAAATTCATTTACTTTACTTGAGAAAGTGAAATATATATTCACTACATATTAGTAACAGTAACAAACAAAACTTTTAACAATCAATAGTTCAAGGTACGCAACTCCGTAGAACTTAAGAATATTTTACATAACACTCGTATACACACACTAACATTTGAACTGTAAAATCGAACACTTTTGTATGTTGAACAGCAAACTGTTTAATTCTTACAACAAATCATCAAAACACTGATTTAAGCATTCAAACATACTCAACAACAAACTACATGTCTTATTACATAAATATACAACAAATCACCAATTCATAACTCATTTGTATATATTTAAATTGTAGATAAACTATATTATTGTGTATTTTGCCTGTTTTTGTTTTAAACTCTGCTTTGCATGACCTGTTCTAAATATTCGTTTATTATTTGTTGTGGATGAATGTTAACAAACACGCCACCTAAAGCATGTAAATTTCTTTCTTGAAACAGGCTCTGGAGAAGACTGGTGTTACTGTTGCCGACCTGTTGTTATCACAGATGATGTCTAGTACTCACTGCCAAGGAGGTGCATATTCTTTGTATTTATCGAGAATAGAAGGCTCAGAAATATTGGGAACTTTTCACTCCAAAATTGCTATACACTTTCCCGGCCCTCTCATTCGTTGGAAAATATATTCTTATCTTTGATAAAAATCAAAGGTTTGGGAGCTGGTTTTTGGGCCAAGTGTCCGACAAGTTGTGAGTGTTAACCACTGACTTTATGACATCATGGTCAGGGTAAGGGTGATCAAATTCCTTTTAATATTTTCCAGCTCTTTCGTTTGTCAGAAAATATATTCTTCCATCTGATAAGGATCAAAGCTTTGGGAGCCGGATTTGAAGGCAGGGATGAAAGTTGGGGGCAAAGATCATAAAAGAGGCTAGAACGTGATTTTGTAAAACATTGTTAGTGGTTCTCAAATTAAATTCTAATAAGTGTTCCAAAAGTCATGCAACAATTGGCTGAAGGAAACGTACACTTGTGAAATAGCAACCAGGGAAAATTTGTATGACATCATCTTCCATAATTCAACCAATAAAATGTTATTAATAATAATACAGAAACATGATTTCATTTGGTAAATAAGTAAAAAAATTACAAAGTTATCAATGGTAATGTGATTTTTGAAACATCCTGTACATTGTGGACATAATTTAACAAAGTCAAACAGTTATGTGCCATGCGTGATACACACTTAGGCGATCATGTATCTTTCGATACATGACTGACGAGGCAGATTTTTCCCGCAGTAGGTTGCCATTTCTTTCTGCGGTTGACCAGTTGCCATCCAAAGCTATAGAACCCAGCCTGTCCTGCTATTTACCAATGGCTGGAGGGAGAAGTGGATTTACCTTTCCCAAGGGTATTAGCTCGTAAGTGAATCAATTACATTCACTCACGTCCTAATACCCTTGGGAAAGGTAAGATGATTTCATTTGGTAAATAAATATAAAATTTACAAAGTTATCAATGGCAATGTGACTTTTGAAACAGCCTGTACATTGTAAAGATAATTTAACAAAAGCGTTTCTTTAATTAATAATTCGAAGACATAAAAAGACGTTCAAGGTAGATAACTCCAATTTTCATAGAAAACATCATGGAGTCAACTAAGAAGCGTGTCCTTTTTATTTGTTTAGGTAATGTGAACGTTTTTCTTTTTTAGTACAACAATCAATTAAAAATACGATAGACATCTTTCTTAAAGAAAATGTTTGGAAAATATTTTGGAAGCGTGTGAAATTCCTAACTTTTCTTTTTTGTTTCGCGATTATTTATTTTCCCGTTTTTAGAAGCGTGAATGATTTTTTTACTTTTTTCTACGATTTATTTTAGTCACATTCTCTAGCTAGTTGTATTTGTTTTTATGTGAATATCTGTTTTAGTTAGTGCAAAGCGGCAAAACTTAGTGCAACTGTGCGAAATGGAAAAAAAAAAAAAATGACGGTTTTTATTTTAAAACTGTTAAAAACTATGCTTTTTAGTTTTTTAGTCTTACGGGCCCGGGGAATTGCTTTCATGAAAATGACGAAGAAAGAAAACTCATTCCAGGTGGTCAACATTTTAATTTTTCAAAACTCATTCGTGTTTTTCAGTGACAAGTTTAAGGTTTAAATGTGAGTTTACCGGAAATCCCCTGAGAAAATTGCTCAAGTACTTCTTTTGGGGGACGCCGAGTAATGACCCCCAGCTCCCTTCCGAAGGAGAGGTACCACCTGGGGTATGACCTGCTGGGGCTTGAGCCAAATTCAACTTTCCCGACAGAAGCCAAGGAAATAGAACATTTATTTTTCAAATATAAAGTGCACTAAATTATCATGAAACCGACAAGATGCAAAAAAATTATCACATGTGCGTTAGATTGGGTGAATTATTATTTCAAGGTTCTTCTTAAAAAATAAAAATCCTAATAGCAAGTTTACTTAACATTGGAGAATATTTACGAATTAATAAAATCAATAGAAATTAACAACCCACACCCTCGACCCTAATCCTAATCTGCAGAAATAATTTCTGTTAATAATATTTTTAATAAGCTTAGAGTAAAAAAAAAAACCAATAAAAAAACCAACTTTTTTTGTATTCGGTAAATTTCGTTAGAAACAAAGAAAGAGTATCAAACTGTTACATGACATCAGTGCCTTCTGTATGGCAGTGAATACTGGACAATCTGAAAGATGAAGAAAAGTGGTTCTACAGAAAGATGTTGAGGATACCATGGAATTGTCGTGCCACTCACATCATACCAGCAGGGATAGCCTCATATTCACAGGAATAAAAACATATATATTATATTATGCCTCTTGATTCCTTGGGGAACAGAGGGCCACAACAATACCTCTCCAACGGACGTGGTTTTGGGTGATCCTCTTCAGCTTGGTCCATGTCGTGCTGGCTGCCTTCACCTCCGTGTCAACACTTTTGCACCAACTCTGTTTTGGTTGACTCACTTTTCACTTCCCTTGTGGATTCAAGTCAAGGGCCTGCATGGTGAACACTAAAAGCAGGCTTATGGCTGTGTGGCCGATCCATCCCTCTTTCTGTTTCTTGATGTCAGTCTCAATTGGGGCTTGTCTGGTCCTATCCCACAGTTGGTTGTTGGAAAGATTTCTGGTCACCTGACATTAAGGATGTTCCTAGGACATCGGTTGGTAAATGTCTGAAGTTTGTGGGTGTTGGTCTTGGTTACCCACCAGGTTTTTGAGCGGTAAAGTAGAACCAACTCAACATGTTGAAGATCCGGATCTTGTTGCAAAGTAAGAGGGTTGTTGATCTCCAGATTGGCTGCAGAGTATTGAAAGTGTGTCTGGCTTTCTTGATTCGGTACTTGATGTCTTCATTTGTCTCCGCCCCCATCTTTACTGATGATGCTTCCAAGGTAGACAAACTTATCGACTTCCTTGATGTCTTCTTGAGTCTTGTTGTCTGTTATTTACCCTCATGAAAATTTAAAAAAATGAAAACAATTCTTGTAAAAATTCTTTTTCATCAGAGAAATTTTTTTCTTAAGTCAATAGTGTCCTTAATATATCTTATTTATTAAAGCAATTAAAAGTTTTTTCTAATTAAATAATGTCATAGTTTTGTTGCATTTTTTATTTTATAATTCAGAGCAGATTTTTTCATTGCGATGTTTCTGTTTTTGTTGAAGCTTAAATAAGCATGGAATAATACAACACAAAATGTACGTTAACAAAATGTATTGAAACAAAGAATAGGTACACAATATTTAAGTTAGTTTGGTATATTCTTGGGAAGACTGTTCCTGCATAATGGGTTGACTAAAGCAGTCGGGCAGAGTCTCTGGATTCAATTTCTTAATCTCTACTATCTTCCCGTCTTCGGTACCAACCCATATTTATATGTAGTCGCTTATGTAAATTAGGTGTATCATACACAACAGTTTTACAAAAAATAAATTGATTTAAATTCTCCAAGTAGTCCTCCTATTAATATAAATATGAATGGTGTGAAATTTAATTTCTTGAAATTTCATAAAATGTGTGTGTGTGTGTGGGGGGGGGGGTTAAAAACAAATATTTTTATCAAAATTTTCTAAAAAAGTATAAAAATTTAAAAATAATTCAATTCATATCCTGAAAATTTCATTAAAATTCAACAATTACATGATTTTTACAAAAATTTCCAAATTGATGTGTGTTTTTACTGCAAAAAAAAAATGCTAAAATTTCCTATGCTAATCATTAATTAATTTTTGATACCCTTGCTGATACAATCAAAATTTTGAATGTGCTAGAAAAGATTAAAAAATTTAATTAAATAATCAAAAATAGTTTGGTCTTTCCTCCTAATAATAACAAAGACTGTTTTTATCAAGTTGGGGCCTTTTATCATCATGATATGCTCTTTTTTCAGTGAATTTGTGGTGATACCTATTTTAGTGATAGAATCATAAGCCATTGGGTTGTAATAGCTAATGAATATGCTCTAATAGCAATTTCATATGGCTTCAAAATTCTCCTGTAATTGGTCAAGTTTCAAAATTTTCTAGGGGGTTTGCAGCACCTGAATCCCCATCTGTATGGACTCAATGTGCTCTCCAGAATCTATTTATAGCCTACATTTTGGCAATTGGATCCTCGAATCTGTTGTTGCTGGTTGCAAAGGGGCTCTCATATCTGTTCAAGCTTCAGGGCCCAAAAATGTAGGTCTGCCACTTCCCTGTAAACAGGTTCCTATCATGTCCACAATTTTGCTTAGGGACAGGTTCCCAACCAAAGGCTTCACCTGAATTAAATCAGTTTGGTATATTTGAGCAATATGTATTCTTATGTAATAGATTATCATTCAAGAATTTAGCACTACTTAAATAGACTGGTCCAGTCATAAAAAGTAAGGAAATTTTGGCGGGGAAATAATTTTTGTAGATTAGCATTTTTTAGACATTGCTTACGTTGCAACATTTCTCAAAATCAAAAAATATTGTTTTGTTATCATTTTAGAAGAGGGGTCCCATAAAAGCATTTCTTTGGGGAGGAAAGAGAGAAGAGCACGTCACTTCTCTTATCCCAAATATTGAATAAGGCACATATGAAAACAAACAAGACACAAAATCCAATGTGAAATTTGAAAGGAACAAATATTTATTACATTAATATTAAAAATAATGAACAAAATACAAATTTGATAAAAAAACTTTCCTTTTGTCCACCTTATTATTAAAGGCAAGATAACCCATTCAGAATATAGAATTATAGGCTCATAAAAAATATATACACTCTTCAACAAACTTTCAATAATCAAAAAAACCTTGAGATGGTACAATACAAATTCGTTTTTGTTTTCTTTTTTGGTGGAAGATTACCTAGTGCTGTAAGCTTGGATGTGCGAGTTGTATTATGAATAACGGCTTGGAATTGGTAATCAGAGAGCCAAGTTCCAATTCCAGTTGAGCTCATTATATTCACTTACGTGCAAATACCCTTTGGAAAGTTATGAATCCACCCCTTAATTAATAGGAATTCTATCTATAAATCATTATTATTTTCCCCCAAATTCTTAAGTTTAAAAATATTTTCTGCCTTTAAATAACTTTTGATAAACCTTTTGAAGGTTATTTAAAGCCAGAAAATCACTCAATCAGTACCAAAACGAATGGTCCATTATTTGTCAGAGGTAATGGCAGAGTTTAAGCAATTTACTAACTTAAGCTCTTCTTTATTTTTTTTTTAATTTAATCATAAAATAACATTTTATAAATTGTAGGAAATATCTGTCGCTCTCCGATGGCCCATGCAATATTCGAACATTTGGTAAAAGAAAATGGCACTTCACATAAGGTAACCTTAATTTTTTTTTTTACAAATGTTTTTATTTTGGGAGATAGATGACGATGGATAAATGGTCAAGATCAAAAGAAAGGCACATTAATTAACACATTCAGCTTGAAACGATGTTAACAGTTTTTGCTATTTTACCTGTTAAGTACTATATATGTAGATTATTTAATGTCCAGCAATTTTTAACCTTCACACCCGCAAAAAAAACTGTATCATAAGGACAGTTTTTCCCTTGACACTGCTATTATTTTAACTACCTTCATTCCTCAGCAATGTTTAATGTTTTAAACATATAATGAAAGTGAATTTAGACATTTTTTGTTCTTGAGAATTTACAACAAAATTATTAAACACTATTTATTTATTAGATTCTTTATTTACAAGAATCATTTTATATTGACTGTATTCTACAAACTAATACTATTGTATTAAAGCTAATGCAATGCAATATTTATCATTTACCAATTTATAAAGGAATAAATATGAAAATAATTTTTTATTCATAAACATTTATTAAATTATAAAAAAATATATGAACCAACTATAAGGAAATCTTTATTATTTTCCATTTTATAAAGTTTTAATCGACTTGCAATTAGTCAAAGTTTTAATAAACAATATAATAAATATAATACTGTGAATGCTGTCCAGTTATTGCTTCCTCCATTTCTAGAGAGTTTGATTTTATATTACCTGGCCCAGGGATTGAACTCACAATTATTATGAGCCAAGTAGTATAGAGAGACAGGGGAAACAGGAGTAGCAATAACTGAGGGATGGGAGATGAAGATGAAGTTATCCCTAGACATGTACAGTGGAAAATAGAGCCGTCTACCCAATAGATAAAATAAAAGTGTTTATCTTGAAGTTCCTGAACACCTTACCCAGGAAGCCTTTCTTAAACAAATACCTGCCCTTAAAGCTTTTTCTTGTCACTTTTTTTATGTTAAAAGTAAAAGTTCTCTTGTAAAATATTAGACCATTTTTATTGCATTAAGCATTAAAACACAATTCTCAAGAATCTATCTGGATGTGCAGGAGGTGCAATGTATATTGTCTCAGAATGAGAAAACAGAGAGTGGAGTTCAAATTCCGGTCGAGTTCATTACATTCACTTATGCGCAAGTACCCTTGGAAAAGGTATGAATCCATCTCTTCTACCCCTAGCTATGGGTTGAATAGCAGGACAGACTCTGTCCTATAGCCTTCATTGGAAACCAGTCTACCACTTACACCCAAGCATGTAACACATATGGCACTTTTAACTGTCTTACTGATTTGTCCTTGCTTTGAATACTGCTGCCAAATCTGGTCTTGTACACCTGCTATATATTTAGAGATTCTTGATAAGATCCAAAGAACAATCTACAATGTTATTGGCCCTTACCTGGCATCTCTGCTTCAGTTACTTTCCCACTGCCATAATATAGCTTCCCGGTGCCTTTTCTATATTCTGATGAACTTTCCTCTATGGTACCTAGATTTTATAAATTTAAGTTCAGTGCTAGATTGGTAACAATGTCTCATCATTTTACAGTCAAAATGGCTAGATGTAACTGTAAGTTCTATGCTAAGAGTTTCTTTTCTCGCACTTCTCACTTGTGGAACTCTCTTCTGGCTTCTTGTGTTCCCACTTGACTTTGATCTGCAAAAATTAATTTTTTCTTAATTTTTATTCTTTTATTGTTCTCTCTCCTTAATAATGATTTTTCTGCATATTCTCTAACACTCAGTAACTCCTTACACCTTAGTGGCTTTATTGCCTTGATTGGGGTGAAATGATTTAAAAAAAAATTATTATATTTTGGCAAAAGTACAGTAAGTCCACAGGTTACAGCAGTCCCAATCTATGACAATTCGTGGTTACAATGCAATCTTGTTTTGATATGGTGTTTGCCTTGTATATACAATGCAAATGGCACAAAATAGAATACACAGTACTGCAGAAGAATATGCTGTCATATGGTGCTAGAGTGGAATGGAACTCTGTTGTAAGTCAAGGACTCCCTGTACTATGTAATATTTCAAGAATATCCTCTAAAATGATTGTCTCCCCTTTTTAATTTTCCAGTGGGAAGTTGATAGTGCTGCCATCGGAGACTGGCACATAGGAAAACAGCCAGACAAAAGAGCACTGAAAGTCTTGAAAGAGAATGGAATCATTTTCCGGCATACCGTACGACAGGTTCGAATAAAAATGCTTCTTTTGATAAGTTCCATACTTTCTCTTATTTAGTTTTGTCTTTGATTGGTGTCTTATTACACTGGAATTTTCTCTTTCAAGATTAAAGCTTCACTTTCCATTTACAGATTAACCCAAACGATTTTGAAGAATTTGATTACATTTTTGGAATGGATCATATGAATATGAGGTGACACATCTGCATTTTTCTTTTAATTTCTGGAAATTCAAATATATGCTTAACATCTAAAAAGGATTTTACAAGTATTTTTGTAAATTCTGTTTATCTTGATATATACAAATATTTACAATTTATTGGGTAGATTTTGTGACATATCAACCCTTGTTGGATCATTTAATATCAAGTAGATGTACAGCTAGTGTAATAGTTAAGAGTTTTGGATAAGAAATCAGAGATCCGAGTTTAAATTTCAGTCAAGTTCATTATATTCACTTATGTACAAATTCCCTTAGGAATCCATTGGCTAAACCTAGTTATGGGTTAAATAGTAGAAAAAATCATTTTTATCACCAAAAATTTTTTAGTGCAATCTTCACTCACAAAAATAAAAAATTTATACATACAATCCAAAATATGTTTTGGCTTTAAATGGTGATAAGGGTTGATAAGCCATAAAAAACAAATCAATCAACAATTTAAGCTCAAAATCTATTTTTTATTATATTTGAGTCTACAGGTAATCATTGGTTGTATGAATACTTGAGTCTATGGATTGGTTATACCAAATTTAGGTATGGAAATTGGATATATAAGTTGTGCTAAGGGTAGTTTTATCCAACACCGGAAGATGTTACAAAACCAAAACATTAGCCTTAGAACTTGAGTCATGCTCTTAAGATCTAAACTCTCATATGGATGTCATGCATAGCATCACTCATTGCAAAATGTATAAGCTATCATCAATATACAACCATTTTCAGATTGAAGATTAAAAATGGTATTGAACGAATGCATCCTTTCAGTCTTAAAGAAAACAACCCTACATCAGATTTTATGAACTGGCACTAAAGAATCACAAAACTTCATCAATACTAGAACTGAATCAGATATCCTTTGACATGATCAGTGACAGGCAAGTTATCCCTATATGTGGTTAGCAGAATATACAATATAGCAAGGCATCATGAGCAGAAAACAAGATATTCTGAGGCATGGTGAAGATGAAGATGAGATATCCCTAGACATAGTAATTGGAAGAGGAGATTATCCCCTGGACATGATGAGCCAAAGAAGAGATATCCCTGGACATGGTGAGCAGAAGGCAAGATATCCTGAGGCATGGTCAATGGAACACACATTATACCAAGACATGGTGAGTGAAAGACGAGATATCCTTAGATATGGTGAGCCAAAGACGTGATATCCCTAGACATAGTGGAAGGCAAGATATACTTAGATATGATTTGCAGAAGCCAAGATATACCAAGACATGGTCAGTGGAAGAGACAATACACCAAGAGATTGTGAATGGAAGACAAGATATCCTGAGACATGGTGAGCGGAAGATGAGGTATCCCTAAACAGGGTAATCAGAAAGCAAGATATACAAAAATATGGTCAGCACAAGGCAATATATACCAAGATAATGGTGAGTGAAAGACAAGATATCTTGAGGCATAGTCAACAGAACACACAATATACCGAGACATGGGTTAGTGGAATACGAGATATCCCTAAACATGGTGAATGGAAGATGAGATATCCCTGTACATGGTGAGCTGAAGAGGAGATTATCCCCTGGACATGATGAGCCAAAGAAGAGATATCCCTGGACATGGTGAGCAGAAGGCAAGATATCCTGAGGCATGGTCAATGGAACACACATTATACCAAGACATGGTGAGTGAAAGACGAGATATCCTTAGATATGGTGAGCAGAAGACAAGATATCCCTAGACATGGTGAGCGGAAGACAAGATATCCCTAGACATGGTGAGCAGAAGACAAGATATCCCTAGACATGGTGAGCAGAAGACAAGATATCCCTAGACATTGTGAGCAGAAGACAAGATATCCCTAGACATGGTGAGCAGAAGACAAGATATCCCTAGACATGGTGAGCAGAAGACAAGATATCCCTAGACATGGTGAGCAAAAGACAAGATATCCCTAGACATGGTAAGCAGAAGACAAGATATCCCTAGACATGGTGAGCGGAAGACAAGATATCCCTAGACATTGTGAGCAGAAGATGAGATATCCTTAGACATGGTGAGTGGAAGTCAAGATATACCTGAAGACAATCTATCCCGAGATATAGTCAGCAGAGAACCATATATCCTGAGACATGGTCAACAGAATCATCTACCCCCATAGATTAAATAAAGAGTTCAGTTCAAAATTCCATGAGGCTTAATCGAATCAACAGATACCCAAAGAAAGCTGGAAGGCATGGCATCCAAAATGTTATTTTAGTAACAGCAAAGCTGAGGACAATAGTCCAAGTGTAGATAATGATAACTCCTGATGCCAAAAATTCAGACGAAAATTATTCAGTAGTAAGTAGACTAGGTATGGTAATGTTTTGAACATTATATGAAACCAGTTTTTAAATTTCTTTTTCAGGGATCTCGAGGAAATCAGTGGCTGCAAAGAAAGTAAAGCTAAATTAGAAATGTTAGGCAAATATGATCCAGAAAACATCCTTGTCATTCCGGATCCGTATTATGTAAGTAGAAATAAGATTGATTTTGTTATTAACACTATTTACATATTTCAGCCTCACATCCTTGTCTTTGTTGCTATATTCATGACATTTCAGCCATTGTATGCTCCAGCCTTCTTCAGGTTATTGGAATTTCAAACGGAACCCTTTATTTCATCCACCAGGGTAGATTGTTCTAGTTCCACATGCCATGCCTCTTCCAGCTGTGTCAGTGTCAGTAATCTCCCTTTAACTCAACTCTCCAAGTTTTAAGTTCGCCACTACTGTAGCCAAGTATTAAACTCACACCTCTTTGGGTTAAGTCACTGGATTCAATTAACGCTTTTATCATCTGGGCCATGTGTCTACAGAAGTGAACAAAAACTCAGTGTTGAATTAAAGAGGGATAACTAATACTGAGACAGCCGGAAAAGTCATGGCACTGAGAATTAGAAAAATCTACCCCAGTAAATGAAATAAAGGGTTCAGTTTGAAATTCCAATCACTTGAAGAAGGCCAGAGCATACAACAGCCAAAACATTGTGAATAAGGCAACAAAGATGAGGACAACAGTCCAAACAATGTAAATAATTACAATACCTCATCTCAGAAATATAGACAGATATCGAAGATGAATATAACAATAAAGATAAGGACAAGAGTCCAAACAATGTAAATAGTGTAAATAATTACAATATAGCTATATATTGATTTTTGTAACCAAGTGAATTTTGTTGCTAGAAGTAATGCAAAATTCAATAAATTAATATCTTTTTTAATATACAGGGTGCTAAATATATACATGTGATTAAATAATTTGATATTATTTCAAATATTCTGCTACTAAACTTGTGTATATAGAGTGTGGCAAAAGTAACACCCTTTTTTTTTATTTCTTAACTTTTATTGAACAAAAATAAATTACAGTAGTTCAAGAAAATTTATAAGTAT